GTTTTCATCTTTTGCTACCTCTTTTGTACTCAAATTTCTTCCAGTGCCCCCCCCCCCACCGTTTAAATGGCCATCAACCAACCACTACCAGCCTTCGCAATAGCGTCATCACTGTGTTATAGCTACAACCGCTGGTCAGCCTCCGCCAGGTCCGGGCTGATACTAAAATTTGTTATAACGCTCCCCTGCCCTTTAAATGTCCATTAACTAATGGTTGACTAACCCTTGGTCACTTTCCATACTGTGAAATCCCTCTTACCCCTGTACCACCCAGGTCTGAACACTCCACACAAGTTATAAACTTTGTGAACTCTAGATTTAAATGTTCATCATTTTATTATTTTCTTCCTTTTTTTTTTTTTTTTGTGGGTGGAAAAAAAGCATCTTTGTTTATATATACCGGTAATTGAAAAATTATGAAAAATAAACTTGCCATTATATTTCTTTTCACTTTTCGTCTCAAACATATATTACTTTCAATGATTAATAAATCAAGTGGTTCAAGTTCTTCAATACACACAATAACACCTCCCCCTCCCCCAAGCAAAAAAAATAATAATAACTGAAAGAGGTTAATGAATGAAAAACAAAAATCTAAGCCTTGTTTTTCTTCAAGAAAAGCAAAGTTTTGATTGTTGAAACATCCGACAAACTCACAAACTCGCAACCATTGAGAACAAAAAAAATTAAAATAATTAAAATAACCAAAACAAATTGATTAGTACCGGTAATTTAATTATTTTATTACATCATTTGTATCATATTTTCCCTATCAATATCACAGATGTGGAAATACTGACATTTCATGGATATATATGGCAAAATAAAAATTGAATGTGTACGGGCATTTAAATCATCAATAATTAATTATACTATATTGCTATTTAGCTCTTTAAATTTAACAGGAACAATAACTTATGTTTTCTTTGTACACATTAATTTTGGCAAAGTATATTTGATTTTTCACACATTCTTTTACTATAAATATAAATAAAAAGGACTGCTAAATCAGGAGTTAGTGAACAAGTTAGGTAAAATAAGAAAATTATGTTATTTGAAAAATGTTATAATATAATATATTACAAGCTGTTTACTTGAGAATCATGTTGGAGTTTTCTTTATGGGCTCAATAACTTTTTCCATGATGGTTAACTTGACACATTCAGACAAAACTCCACTTCAGGATTCATGTTCTGTGTTCCCATCCATTTCAACCGCCTTCAGGAAATAACTATATCCCTGTAGAGATCATCCAAAAATAATACATACTTTTACAAAAATAAAGTTGATAGAAGATAAATGCTTTACAGTGCAAAGTGCAATTGTGTGTGCAGTGAAGACAAGATAAGAATATCAACTGATTGTCTTAGCATACAAAATAAATAGGTATACCATGCAATATTTTATACTGGATTCCTTGCCATATGCAAGAATAAATTTACTTTATAATGGATTGCTTGTTTCTAAAACTAAAACATCCCAAACTGTTTGCTGAGTACAACAGAACCAGCTACCCAAGTTACTGCTCTGAGCTCCAAAAAATAATGATCAATTAATTTGTTAAAACTAAAATGCTTAGTATTCACATTTTATTTAAACAAATTTAAAAAAATTAAAATTGTTTCCCTACTCTTCTACCTATTACATTGCCTGTACTGGTACATACATTTCAAATGCACATTTAAAAAGATGGGTATTTGTCAATAATAAATAACTTTCCTTAAAACCTAGCCTAGTAGCACCCCTCAATCACCACCCTCCCTTTTTTAATTGTTTGGAGCTCGGAGTCGGAGCTCGAGTTGACAAATATTGTGTGGAGTACAACTGGAAAAAAATAGGGGGGGGGGCAGGCTATAGAAACGTAGAGCAATTGTCCAATGAGACTTTTGATTGAGCAAGGACTTCCCAGAGCATCCATCAAAGGTACGATCTTTTCAATTTTTCATTTGTTCTTGTGTGGAGTACAACTGGAAAAAAATAGGGGGGGGGGGGGCAGGCTATAGAAACGTAGAGCAATTGTCCAATGAGACTTTTGATTGAGCAAGGACTTCCCAGAGCATCCATCAAAGGTACGATCTTTTCAATTTTTCATTTGTTCTGTACCATTTATTCTTTGTGTTACCGGTACCAGCAGCTGAAGAGGACTTTTGCCAAAATTGTTGTATACTGTATGCTATAATCTGTCTGATTTTAACTGTTTTCAATATTTCTATGTTCTATGATACACATAATACATCTTGTTAACTCAGCAAACATTTATTTTCATGCTATTTTGGCCTAATTATGAAAAATCCTCCCACTACATCAGGAATTTAAAAGGGTGCCCAGGAAGAAGAAAATAGCGCACCTATTATATAGAAAATGCCACCCTCTGCTAGTTGCCCCCAGGGCGTGTTCCTCTAGTAAAACGACTATAAATTGTCCAAATTAAATAAACATCCTATTTATTGTCAAGAAATTTGTGAATTTTTTTTAAACATATATAAATATCCAATTTTATAGTTAAACTACACCATTAGTTCATAATAATAAACCGATATGATACCTAGAATATGTGAGACCTAAATTTAAAATTTTAAACCCACCACTTGTTTAGAAAGATATATCTGACACTTAGGCCTTGATCAAGAAATGATTAAATAAAGTTATAAAATAAATACAACATTTATTTAAAACTTTGGCTGTGGAATTTTTTATACAAAAATGTACATTTTTTTCAAAGAGCAAAAAAAGAGTGAGAGGTTGGGTTTATTAAAAAATTTTTAAAATATTATTGTTTGGTTTATAAGACTAAGACTAAACTTGGTATCAAATGAAAGATAATTGAATGGACAATATGTTTGTAAACTTATTTCTTAGTAAAACAGACAAGAACCATAAAATATTTTAAAGCTTTATTGCAGTCCAACAATTTTTATATCAGAAAAGAACCATAAAATATAAAAATGTTATACCGGTATGCAAAACCATTTTTTCCCCAAACCCTTTGATGTACTATCGGAATCATGTGATTCATTGTGATGGATCTAAATATAAATCAAAAGAAATAGTATAAAACAATTCCAAAGCTTTTTGAGCTGTTAATCCTCTAGGAAACGTATTCACTTACTAGTACTAGGCTACTAGGGTAGCCATAGCAACAGTCGAAAAAAAAATAAGTAAGAATAAGAAAATCATTCAAATAATCCCTGCTTCAAATCATAAATGACAACCAATTATCGGCAGCTATACTATTATACTATTAGTATTAAGCTGGTTACTGGACACTTTCTAACAAAAAGCTTTCAATTTTTAATTTGGGGCCGCCTTCTGAGGAGTGCCAAAAATATATGGTACTTTACTTTTTAAAAAATACTTTTCACTAAGATTCAATTCCAAAAATAATCATTTCAATCAATATTACTATTACTATTACTTTTTAATAGACTTATATTTACATCTTACAGTTACAAATGAAGTTTTGGTAATTTATTCATATAGAAATAATTAATAGCGCTTTAATAATGAATTACCCTCAATGGTAATGTCTGCCGGTGAACCGGTTTGTTAGTTCTTAATTATAATTAAGAATGGGTACCGTAGTGTATTCTATTCTTCGTATCAGCTGTTCATTCTCTTTTGTTGTGGGGCTCCTTTCGTTTTCTTTAAAAATGTATGTGCCAGAATTAAATAAGATGACCCTCTAAAACAATTTTTTTTTTCATTTATGTAATTGTAAGTGTATTATTTAAGCCATATTTACTTCATTAATATCAAAAATTGAAATTATTAAATATTTAATTTCTTTTATGACCTAAGTATGTTAGTTTTATTAAAATATAGATATATGAAGTAGTTTTGTAGGGAGGAAAAAAAAAAAGAAGATAATTTGCAAGTCCTAACTGACAAACATATTACCGGAAAAGGAAACGCATCAACTGTACTACAGTGCAATTCTACCTTGGCAATGGGCCCTGTGTTTATGTAAAGGTCGAAACTGTATGCAAACGTAATAGTGGATTGATATATTACATAACTGCACCCGTCCTCTCCACAGAAAAAAAGGCCATACATTCCAAAATGTCTGGCCTTACTCGCATTGCACCAACTTTAACTGTTTCGCTTTGTAAGTTACGGCAGCCTGAAAAAGTCTAGTTTGATATATTTAAAAATAATTTAAATTATTTTCAATTTGTATCTGTACCCAGCTGTATAAGTATAGTGTATACTGATACTGTACTGTATTATACTGTATAGTATATTAGGTACCGTATATTATTATTATGTAATATATGTTCTTAGTTTTACTATTAAAAAGTAGAGTTTGTATAGTAAAAGGCCTACTTTTGTTATTTAGGGCCCAGCCCTGGCCTATAAGAAGCCCAACTGTCAATATTTTTTAAATTATATATTTATATTATTAATTAGCTTAGGCTTAGGCTTTACTTTAGGCCAATAAGTAGGCCTACTATTATTACTGTTATAAGTAATAAGAAGGTACCTTGACAGAATATTTTAAATATTGTCTGATTGAATTGTCATAGTCATGCCATTCATAAATATAGTCATTGTACAATTTGGTCATTTGGTACATTGATATAAAAATTGAAAACAGTATCAAAGTAGTACCGTTTAAATTAAAAATTGACAGAAAATTTTAGTCTTGTCTGATTGCCATAATAAAAGAAAGGCCTATATCATATTCAAGGACTAGCTTTAAATTTTATAGAAACATCAATTTCTTCTTTCTATCTTTTATAATAGCGTTGTTTCAAATTTTTTGGGAAATTTTTTAAAGCTTCTTGCCTTATTTATCTTTGTACGTAACTGCAAAAACATGTGAATGTGACAGAGTTTAAAATATCTGCCTTATTTTGCCCACAACTTTTTATTTTAAAAGTTAATGCTACCATATTTTCAGGAGGCATTCTCAATACAGTATACAACACAATGAACAACAAAACTTTTACATATCATCGAAGACTTTTTATTGTTGATAGTTTTAATTGAGGGTATTTTTTAAAAAAATCCTGACTAGAAAAATTGGAAAAATTATGACTTTGACTAACTTTTAGTGGCATAAACAAAACAAAATTGCATTGTATTTTAATAAAATATGCTTAAGTTAAATTTTAAACCTATTATACTAGTATTATAAAAGGCGTCTTTTTAAACAAATGCAATAGAATCACCACCAACTATGAGTTTTTGAGTAACCTATTTTAACTTGGCAAGACTAGTGATGTGTGTGGCCATATTAATAGCTTCAACCACTTCAGAACGACTCTTATACTTTTATTAGACCCAAGGAGCCATTATTAAAGGATGTCATGGTTATTTGGGAACCCCCCCCCCTCACACAATTAAGACACCCTCATCAAAACACATCATCACAAATTTGTTCCTTCTACCCCTAGTTGCATGATGTCATTTATGGATGGCCTCCTACAGTCCTATCCTACACATAATTTTATTAGAGAAATATTTTCCTACCCTGTGTACATAATTTTATTAGTAGGCCTATACTTTTAATTTTAACTTAGTTTAGTAGTAGGCCTATTTCATATAGTGAATGGGATAAATGGTATAGCTCTAAAAAATGTAAAGAAATCCTGTTTTTTCTTATAAATGTTACTTTGAAAATTTGCAAAGTGGGTGAGAAAAGATCCCAACTATGCTTAATTCACATGACATGAATTTTTAACGCTACCGGTATCTCAATTAAAATACATTATTCTTTTTTCCGCCATTACAGTCAGAGGACAGGGACTTCCAATTATTTCTGCAATCAGAACTAATGCAACTGAAGCATCAAAATCAGAGAAAGTAAGATTTTACTAAATTCTTCCTAATATAAAAACTGGCTGCCAGAGGCTTCTGACTTCATTATTGCCCTGTTTACAGTATTGTCAACTCTATGGCTGAGTAAACCCACCATGCACAGTAAACAGGATTTCTTAAGTCACTAATAAGCATGCCCCATTTCACTCCAGGAAAAAAAAGTGGTTGCATAGATGAAGGTTTGCATCTGAGATGTCATGCAGTTTTTCAGTGGAAGTCTCATGAAAGAAATGATGTGAATTTTTTTTTCTCATTTGGAGTCTGTTAACCATTAGGCTTCTACTCAGGATTGGCATACAAGAGCATTGGTACAGATCCATTGGCTGCCTTAAAATATATCCCTCTGCAGATTTATGTTTTATCAGTGGTGGGAACACACAGAAGCCACCTCAGATCTATTAAAGGCAGGTGGGAACACCACCTCAGATCTATTAAAGGCAGGTGGGAACACCACCTCAGATCTATTAAAGGCAGGTGGGAACACCACCTCAGATCTATTAAAAGGCAGGTGGGAACACCACCTCAGATCCATTAAAGGCAGGTGGGAACACCACCTCAGATCTATTAAAGGCAGGTGGGAACACCACCTCAGATCTATTAAAAGGCACTCAGATCTATTAAAGGCAGGTGGGAACACCACCTCAGATCTATTAAAGGCATGTGGGAACACCACCTCAGATCTATTAAAGGCAGGTGGGAACACCACCTCAAATCTATTAAAAGGCAGGTGGGAACACCACCTCCGATCTATTAAAGGCAGATATACTTTAATCCTTACCATGCGTGTTTAAAATCTCTGGTATTTTTTTTCCAACACCCAGCTTTCCTACATTGTTGATAAATATAGAGTGTATGTAAATATGCCACCACATCAGTTATTGTAATTTTGCCCAGGAGGGGGGGGGCACACAAATACTTTTAGTAGCTGTTTGCACTCCATTTTTAAGTATTCTAGATTTCCCTGAACCACCCCAATTCGGCTATTCATATTTGAGCTTTGAATTTGTGGCTTTAATACTCAAAACATGAGTTAATTTATCTATTATGCTCTAAGTAGGATAAGAAAAATGCTTCCTCCCTTCGTGACACTCAAAATGGTGTCCTTTGACTCTTAGTGCCTGACCTACTTCTGACTTCTTGTTAATTGAATCTTAACATTCAAAACTATTATTTCCAGAAAATGTATGGTCCTCTAAAAGATCAGGACAGAATTTTCACCAACCTTTATGGCCGCTATGATTTCAGACTGAAAGGTGCCAAGGCCAGAGTGAGTACTGTAGTGCTAATGAGCTGAAACTTTGTGCTATTGATTATTTTTCCTCATGTTGCATGTTTGAAGGGTCAACTACCCTGATTGTAGTATGGTATTATTTAAATTTCTCTTTTGAAAGTATAAAATGTGTTTGACATCTCATCTCACAGACACTGTTATTTCACCCCAACTTTGTTTATGTTCTGTTTGTTTAGGGCTCATGGTACACTGTTATTTCACCCCAACTTTGTTATGTTCTGTTTGTTTAGGGCTCATGGTACACTGTTATTTCACCCAACTTTGTTATGTTCTGTTTGTTTAGGGCTCATGGTACACTGTTATTTCACCCAACTTTGTTATGTTCTGTTTGTTTAGGGCTCATGGTACAAAACTAAAGAAATCATCCTCAAAGGACATGACTGGATTTTAAAGGAAATCACCACGTCTGGACTCAGGGGGAGAGGTGGGGCTGGATTTCCCACGGGAATGAAATGGGGTTTCATGAATAAACCTTCTGACGGAAGGTTTGTTGGCAGAATTGTTTTATTTATAAATCAAAGCTTTTTTCTTTATGTATCAAATTGTGTCAGTTTTGCTCCTACACACATCTTATCTGATTAGCACCCAATTACCAGTAAAAAATTACGTTCATTTTTCTCTGTTCTATGCTATTCTTTTCAGCTCAATCCACTTGCTTGATTTGTGCTCCATCGGCTCCATGTTTTCACTATCTTTTTAGCATTAGAAACGTTATCATAGTAATATTGGCACATTTAGGTTATAAAAAAAATAACATCAAAACAAACAAGTTTCTTAATATTCTAGAGCAGCATTTCCCAAACTTGTAAGTCCATAAAAATTCACGTTGTGTGGACCAGCAACGTAAGGTTCCCGGTTCATGGACTGCCATTTGGGGAATGCTGTTCTAGAAGTTAGAAGATATGATAAGTTAGGATGTCATTGGACTTTTTTTAATATGAACAACAGCAGTGATAACTAGTGTAAACTATGTCATTTTAACAGGACCATTACTGTGGGATCAATTCTGCACCAACTTATAGTACTGTCTGGTGCACACTGATCCGCATTAAGATAAAACAAAGAACAACTGTTTGTGTTATTTGTATGTTTGGATGAGCATGTGACTATGTTTGTATCCATGGAGACGTATATTTGCAGACCCAAATACCTTGTTGTGAACGCTGATGAAGGTGAACCAGGCACTTGCAAAGACAGAGAGATTATGAGGCATGACCCACACAAACTGGTCGAGGGCTGTCTTGTGGCTGGCGTAGCCATGCACGCCAGGGCTGGTACGTTCTTACCATTTGTTTCTCAAGTAAAATTATTTGGGAGATGGGGGGGGGGGGGATATAAGGCTTTTCTTTTAAGACTGATTTCAACAAGACATTTCTTTCATTTGAATTAATTATGACTCAAGTAAAATTATTTGGGAGATGGGGGGGGGGGGATATAAGGCTTTTCTTTTAAGACTGATTTCAACAAGACATTTCTTTCAGTTGAATTAATTATGACATATTTGTTGGTCGTAATATATTCTTTGAATTGGAGAGATACATTAAATCATATATAATCTTCTTCTAGGCATTAGTTGATTGGTTTCTGGGAAATTTCTGTAATTTTTATATGCACATTACTTTAAACACTGACACATAGCGCAAACAATTAGAAACTCAAACAAGGAATACATAATTGATATTTGGTTCTCTTCTTTCAGCTTATATTTACATTAGGGGAGAGTTTTACAATGAAGCGTCTAATCTCCAAGTGGCCATCAATGAGGTCATGGACTTTTTTTTATATATTATTATTACCTGAATATGGTTGATCATTTTGGATAATTTTATCTTTAGTGTATTTTAAAACTTATTATTAAATATTATTTTTATAAGTTTTTTAATATATTGCAAAATATTATCATTTATCCCAGGGTTGGCCATCCCCATCCTCTGACCCCATGTGGCATGGCAGCAAAAATGAACTTTGCACCTTTTTGCTGTGGTACATAATGGTACTGCCCCTATTTTGGTCTCAAATCTTAAATAAAAGTGATGAAACATTACTCTTTACTGTACTAATTACTAAAAAATAAAAGATTCAAATGAACACCACGACGTTAACCGGCACCATAATTTTTCTGTCTGATGCAAAACTAAATTTCAGAATGTGCCACTTTTGCTTGGGTCTGTTAAATCGAATTCTGCTCCTTTTCCGCATCGTTCAAAGTGAAAGTGACAGACACACTTTTTATGTATAAAAATAAAATATACCGGTAATTAAAGAGTTTATCACTGTTCAAAATCCGGACAATTTATTACATGTGTGGCGTCAAGTGTAGAGGTGTTATAATTGGAGAATTATGCTCAGTAAAATTAAATTAAAAAATTACTACAGCATCGTTTCTTTGGTGCATGTTTATTTTATTTGATAGATGTTACTGTAATGACATGCCGCCTGCAAAGAGCTGACTCACTATCAAAATGACACATGAAGCCATATGGGTCGGCCACCCCTGATTTAGTCATCAGAGAAATTATTTCTTGAGTTCTATAGTAATTTTTTTTAAAATACATATTAACTGACAATTTAAAAAGTTTATGTTTCTGCATATATGATCCTTACTCCTATTTATTGATGATTTTGTTTTTCTCACCCAGGCTTACAAAGATGGGCTGATTGGTAAGAATGCTTGTGGATCAGGCTATGACTTTGACGTGTTTGTGCACAGAGGAGCTGGGGCTTACATATGTGGGGAGGAAACTGTGAGTTGAGTTATCCCCTAAGCATGGGCAACTTACTTTCTTTTACTTAAGATCCATTATGTTGTCCATGTTTTTTGGTTTGGGTTTTACATCATTTTGACGTGAAAACTACATTTCATTATTAATTAGAACCTTTTGTTCTGAAATACATGTTGCTTCCTAATATGTTTTAATTAAATGCTGAGGGGAAACGGTCACATGTCAAAACCATTTTGAAAACTCTTGATAGACATTAAATTTGTTTTTAAATGGGATTTTTTGGTAGGCTCTCATTGAATCCCTTGAAGGCAAACAGGGAAAACCCAGACTCAAACCCCCGTTCCCAGCAGACGTTGGTGTGTTTGGTTGTCCAACAACTGTCGCAAATGTTGAGACTGTGGCAGTGGCACCTGATATTTGTCGCAGAGGAGGGACGTGGTTTGCCAGTTTTGGTCGCGAGCGCAATCGTGGTACAAAGGTAGGGTGCTTGCATACGTTTCATTATGTCTTTGGTCAATCTGCATCAGTTGTTCTTAACCAAGCTCAACAGGCGGTGCAGGAAGACACAAAAAATCAGTGTTGCATTTTTGTTTTTAACTTTTTGTAATGGGGCTGAACATTTTCAAATTGAAATGTGGGTAAGTGAAATGTTTTAAAATCAAGAGGTGCTGTGGCGCTGAATAAAAGGTAAGAACCTCTGAGCTATGCTAATTCATAATTGTGGTCATTTTCCTATTTATAAACCAGTTTTTACAGGATATTTTTTTATTTGAACTACCACATCTGATAACAGGAGCTAACCTTTATTTTTCTCAATGTATTAGAATATCTTGCCTCCATTCAGTTGATGTTTATTCCATTTAGTTGTTCAACATTTCTGGCCATGTCAACAATCCCACCACTGTAGAGGAAGAGATGTCGGTTCCTCTGAAGGATCTCATTGAGCGTCATGCTGGAGGCGTCATAGGTGGATGGAGCAACCTGCTGGCCGTCATACCCGGTGGATCGTCAACACCGCTGATTCCAAAATCGTAGGTCATCTCTTTCATATCTTTTGGAGTGGGAGAATAAAAAGACACTTCTTTAGTCTACTGATCATTGCCTAAGTGATTAAAATGAATAGGGAAAAAATGTTTGGGTCTTACCATAAGCTGTTAACATGTATATTTTCAGTTTATTTAGACTCGGACTCGTAAGAAATTGACGAAAAATTATTTTTAAGAACTAATTTATTTTTTAATACAGATTTTCTGATACGGTTGTGCATATTTTATTGTCTGCAGTGTTTGTGAGGATGTCCTAATGGACTTTGATGACCTGATCAGGACTCAGACCGGTCTGGGGACAGCTGCGGTGATTGTCATGAACAAGCAGGCCGATGTTGTCCGCTGTATCGCCAGGTTGATTGAATTCTACAAGCATGAAAGCTGTGGCCAGGTAGGGACATTCTAGAGTCATTTTTGCCAGGTTTAACAAATAAAGGCCGTTGTATCCCTTAAAGCATGGATCTCTACATTGATCATTTGTTTCTTAGGGATTTTGTTTTTTAATCAACCCATTTGGCTTATTATTTTATGTATACAATTGAATATTCCATTTGATCATGTCACAAAAACATGTTCAGCTAGAAATGTCATTGGCCTTAATGTCATTGTTTCCCTCACAGTGCACACCTTGCCGTGAGGGGGTCGGTTGGATGATGAAAGTCATGCACAGATTCCGTAAGTCCTGCTCACCAAACAGCTGTTTACTGTTGCATCATTGCGTTTCTCCATTTTTAAATTAATTTATACTTAGGCTTATTATAAATTTTGTATCATGTCCATACTTGACATTTACTTTCAGTTATAAAATCATTATTTTGTTCCTTTCCTTCTTAACACCAGTGTTACCTTTAAGTGATACTACATTTCAGAGAGCTTGTGTTACCTTTAAGTGATACTACATTTCAGAGAGCGGCAATGCACGCAAGGATGAGATTGACATGCTGTATGAACTCAGCAAACAGATTGAGGGACACACAATCTGTGCCCTTGGTGACGGCGCCGCATGGCCTGTACAGGTGAGTCGTAACACTTAACACTTCACGCTGATAGCAGTCAAACAAAAGAAAGTACCATTCTCATCCAAGTTTTAAAAAAAAATTGTTTAATGCTTAACCACTCCTGCCTAACCTACTTTTTATGTAAACCCTTTCATAAGCCTCAGCAAAGGGTAAATGTACGGCCCTAAAATGAAAGTAGCATTACTAAATAAATTTAGTGCCCTAAAAAGAAAGTTATTTTAATGCACCAATTTTTTGGTTTAAAAACAAAATCATTTCAGTTTCAACTAAAGCTTTTATTTGAATTGAAAAACTTCTATAGCTAAGTCAACACGGCAGTTGTAGAAACCTGAGACTAGACATTAATTTGGATTTTTTCTTCCGCCTCTCTAAAATTATTTAAAAATGAAGAAATTTTGGTTATGATGATGCAATCTAAATTGGCGCTGAAAGAAGTTGAGCTTTACATCTTGTCATTTCAGGGCTTGATTCGTCACTTCAGACCTGAACTAGAGAGACGAATGGATGAATATCAAAACAGGAAGGCTGCAAGTAATTAATGCAAGAAACTTTTAGACTTTGAAATCATCCATAGTGAGAGACAGTGATTAATCTTAATCTGTTTGAATGGATGTTGTTCTAATGAATGGGTAGTATTTTATCACAGCTGGCTTAGATCTAGGAAAACTCCACATGGATTCAAGAAAGTTAAAATGACAAAAGAGTGGTACTGTAGTTTCTTTTGTTAGAGTGCACTCTATTGTCTGCCCAGCCAGATTTAAGCTCAGTCTCATGGGATCAGAGGTCATGAAAAACTTTATGAGATGTTGAAATTTTAGGTTGCACAATGTATTTCAGCTGCTGTGTAGTTTCACTTAACTACAGTGGAAGGTTTAAATCTCTATTTGCAATGGGGGGGGGGGGGGGGGTGAGCCTTATTATGGTATGGGAAGACCACTATTTAAATGCAGACGCTCACAAAAAAGAAAACAAACTGACTGAGATTTATCCTTGACCACCAACCCTTGACCACCAACCCTATCAACATTTGCTTCTTAATGTAAAAAAGCAGTTGTTGATGCTGGTAGTTGGGTCATATTTCAATCGAGTATGTTGTTTTTCACTTGGACCTTGTATTGGATACGAGGGAAATGAAGTGGGTTGTTTGGTTTGACCACAAGCTACCAGTGTATATTTTGTAAACCAATTTGGTGTATTCTAACAGTTAATAAAGGATGTTCCAATAATGGATGTTTTTTTTGTCCATTCACTTCATTTATTGTTAGTGGTTTTTAAAATAATTTAATAATTAAATTGCTTTTTGTGGTGCATGGGGTGATTTTTGTGTTGGACCCGGTGTATTACTATTATTGAATAAGAGAGTGAATGCTCAACACTAAGTACATAGAGAGTAAATGCTCAACACTAAGTACATAGAGAGTGAATGCTCAACACTAAGTACATAGAGAGTGAATGCTCAACACTAAGTCCATAGAGAGTGAATGCTCAACACTAAGTACATAGAGAGTGAATGCTCAACACTAAGTACATAGAGAGTGAATGCTCAACACTAAGTACATAGAGAGTGAATGCTCAACACTCTAAATACATAGAGAGTGAATGCTCAACGCTAAGTAGATAGAGAGTGAATGCTCAACACTCTAAATACATAGAGAGTGAATGCTCAACACTCTAAATACATAGAGAGTGAATGCTCAACGCTAAGTAGATAGAGAGTGAATCCTCAACACTATGTATATAGAGAGAGAATACTCAACACTAAGTACATAGAGAGTGAATGCTCAACACTAAGTACATAGAGAGTGAATGCTCAACACTAAGTACATTGAGAGTGAATGCACAACACTCTAAATACATAGAGAGTGAATGCGCAACACTCTAAATACATAGAGAGTGAATGCGCAACACTCTAAATACATAGAGAGTGAATGCTCAACACTCTAAATACATAGAGAGTGAATGCTCAACACTCTAAATACATATATTTAAATTGGCAAACAGGTTTATTGTGAGTTCTTGTTCAAAATGCAACACTTTTAACTCCTGAACATCAAAACAGTGGTTCTTTAGAGTAAGTTGTATGCAGGGCCATGCAAATGAGGTGAACGAAACGGGTGCCAGCCTCTGAGCGTGCGCCGAAATGATAAATTATCCTAAAATATGTATGTAGGCATATAAATAATGAATACCGGTATATGATTATATCATTGATGGATGAAAATGAGGGGGGGAGGCTGCTGCCATTATCAGGATTCGCCCGGGCGAAGCTTTTCCTTGGCAAGGCCTACTTATATGTTAGTGATCCAGGGGCTGCTAGCCTCTCCCCCATGATGAGTAATCGAAGCTAAACCCCCTTCCAACCAAGACCTTAGACTTGGTAAATTCTGTGGTACGTTTTTTTTTTAAAAGAAGATTACTGGCTAAACAATAATATTAAAATATTTCAACAATTTCAATAAAAGCTCAATAATTCCTCCCACTATTCTGCACATTATTTAATCCCATGTTTGTGATTATTTTAAAAAATGAATTTTAGTAGGCCCAAAAAAATAATTTATAAATCTTAAAATTCAAAATTCTGTCATATTAATTGTGTTACCTGGAGAAATACTAAATATGGGGGGGGGGGTATAGTTCAATGCAAATCTGTAAATGTAGTCTGGCTTCTAAATGATATATATATATATTCCTTAATCCATTACTTCATTAATTTATTAATCCATTAATCCATTCTGGGGGGGGCGGGGGGGGGCGGCTGTATTTTAGCCCTCAAACTCAGAAATGAAGCAGTGATCTGAAGGGATCTAACAGTTCTCCAGTACATTATAAGCACACTTTACTATAGGAACATGCATGTGCTACCCATTCACCAAATGAGATCATCAAAACTAACGACTACGCTGAGAAAAGAGAAGTTACAAAAACTAACTAGAACCTGACATTTGTTTAATCATTATTTAATTTTACAAAAATATGAAACAAATAAATTATGAAATTATACTGTATAATTACTGGAAAAAAAAATAATCTGACATATTTTCTATGAAGTTTTTAAGAAAATAACGTTATGATTTAACATTCAATTAATGCCATTGATCCAATTGTTTTTCCCCGACTACCAGATAATATATTATAAGGGGAATAGTTGATGGTTTTGTCCCACTTCTAAAGATATAAACATTATTTCTATACCAAACAGTCGGGGGAAAATATGAAAACTTGACACATTATTAGTCACATGATTGCAACAACTCTGAATTTGTGTAAATGACCAGTGACCTCCAATAACCTTTGAGTGACGTCTGTGGGTCAAATAGTGCATCTCAATTTTGACCAACTTCAATTTGAGCTGAAAAATTGTACACTTTGACTAAAGTACAAAATAAAACAATATGAAAATACTTTTTTTTAAAAACATTGCTTCACCATACCAAAAATGTTCTAAAAAGTATAAATTTGGATCAGTAGATGACCAGATAATTAATGGTTATATTTTCATCCTGGGGTGGGTAAATTTACAAAGCTCAGCTCAGCTTGGCCCCAGGAAGTGGGTCAAAATGGGGTAAAAGATTTGACCCAGACAGACAAGTCTGAAGCTAAATAAAAAATAATAAAAAGACATAATAGATAAAATGATGTTACGGCTAAATGCATTCTTCAGTGGTCAATAAAGAACAAATTATTTGAAATGAAAAAACATAAGTCTTCCTGGATCACAATGCTAACCGGGACGGGGCGTTCGCCAACCCAGGTATGCCACCCCAGGTATGTCGTTGATGATATCTACTCCGATATGTTCCGGTTTCCCCTTAAAATTATGGACAAGTAACTGTATTTATTATTAATATATTAAAAGACAATTTAGAAGTCATTCAAGAATATGCTCAAAAATAAGAGCAAAAATTCTACATAAAATAAACAGACTGTGCATAAAGAATGAATAGTTTACCATAACTTTATTTCTATCAATGTCAATCTTTTTAAGGCTTTAGGCACTATGTTTAATAGGCACTATGTTTAATAGGCAATATGTCTTAAGTCAAGTTAAGTTCCTTACAAACAGGACAGAACTGACTGTTTCAGTGGGGAAACATTTTCAAGAATGGTTTTTGAAATTTGTTTTAAATTTGAATTTAAAAACAAAGTTAAAAAAATGTAACCAAGGACAAGTTATTTAATTTGTTATCAGGACAAGTTATTTAATATAATATTTACCTATGTTATTATCAGGACAAGTTGTTTAATTTAATATTTACCCCTGTTATCAGGACAAGTTATTTAATTTAATATTTACCTCTGTTATCAGGATAAGTTGTTTAATTTAATATTTACCTCTGATATCAGGACAAGTTATTTAATTTAATATTTACCTATGTTATTATCAGGACAAGTTGTTTAATTTAATATTTACCTCTGTTATTAGGACAAGTTATTTAACATAATATTTATCTATGTTATTATCAGGACAAGTTGTTTAATTTAATATTTACCTCTGTTATCAGGACAAGTTATTTAATTTAATATTTACCTCTGTTATCAGGATAAGTTGTTTAATTTAATATTTACCTCTGATATCAGGACAATTTTTTAAATTTAATATTTACCTCTGTTATCAGGACAAGTTGTTTAATTTAATATTTACCTCTGTTATCAGGACAAGTTGTTTAATTTAATATTTACCTCTGTTATCAGGACAAGTTGTTTAATTTAATATTTACCTCTGTTATCAGGACAAGTTGTTTAATTTAATATTTACCTCTGTTATCAGGACAAGTTGTTTAATTTAATATTTACCTCTGTTATCAGGACAATTTTTTAAATTTAATATTTACCTCTGATATCAGGACAAGTTATTTAATGTAATATTTACCTATGTTATTATCAGGACAAGTTGTTTAATTTAATATTTACCTCTGTTATTAGGACAAGTTATTTAACATAATATTTACCTATGTTATTATCAGGACAAGTTGTTTAATTTAATATTTACCTCTGTTATCAGGACAAGTTATTTAATTTAATATTTACCTCTGTTATCAGGACAAGTTATTTAATTTAATATTTACCTCTGTTATCAGGACAAGTTGTTTAATTTAATATTTACCTCTGTTATCAGGACAAGTTATTTAATTTAATATTTACCTCTGTTATCAGGACAAGTTGTTTAATTTAATATTTACCTCTGTTATCAATGTTTCCTGTAGCCTACTTGAATACATTCTATGACATTTGGGTTACTGCTATTTTATTTAGTTACAACAACAAAAATACTTGAACAAATTTTTTTCAGTCAAGCCTGACTTAAACTATTCCTTTATAACAACCATTTATAGTTCTAAAAAAATAAAAATAAACAAATAAATAAATACTTGTATCTAAGCAGGAATACAGCTAGTGAAATAAGGATGATTTTTAACCCACGATCATCCACAACCAAGGTTACTATACATCTTTTTACCTCTTTGTCCATGATTTTTTTATAACTTCTCTCCAACATTTTCAAATCGAACTAAATATTTGTATTTTTACTTAGTCTCATTCCAAGACCACGTAGGTCCATTAGATTAAGTTCAGTACTTTGTGCTGGCTGGCGGTACTGGAGTATTACCATTACTCTTCACTGCACTTCCGTTCACACTCGGCTTCTGTGCTGAATCGGTTGTCGTTGCCATCGCAACCGCCATAAATAAACTTCTCGCAGCGTTTAGACTTTGAATTATAGAAGAAGCTCGGGATATATGCCCGGCAAAATCCAACATCCGCCGGAAGTTGACAGATGCTTGGTCGGCTGTGGTCATTCTTACTTCCGGCTGGGAGGAGAGGCAACCCAAAGATGCGTCGAAATGTGTTCAGGGCATCCAGAAAAATATTAGAAGTTGTCGAGCTTTTGGGCGGCTTGTAGTTTCTCTTGCAGGCGTTGAGGCAATCTTGTTCGGATGAGAATCGGTTTTTGTTGCCCTGGCAACCACCGTAAATAAACTGCCCACACGTACCTTTGGCGCTGTTGTAGTAGAATGACGGGAAGTATCCGTAGCACAGACCGCTGTCTGGTGGCAGACGACAGTCCTCTTCCGTCACCGCGGCCCGAGTCGAGCGTGGCAGAGCCTTGGCCTTGACCTCCGGGCTGCAGGCACTCGTACACTCGTCGTGGGTGGCAAAGTTATTCTCGTTCCCTTGGCAACCCCCGTACGTGAACTCCTCGCATGCCTTGGCAGACGAGTTGTAGTAAAACCTGGGGAACGCTGCCTTGCACAATCCCGTGACTTTAGGCAGTGAACAAATCCAATTTCCGTCTTCACTTCCGGTTGCATTGACCTCTGGCGTCGGGCTCCCGCCATTGATCAGAGTCACTTCCGCCGAGATGCGCGTCGTGCATGCGGTGTTACATTCCTCCAAGGTGGTGAACCGGTTCGGGTTGCCATCGCAGCCTCCGTAGATGAACGTGTCACACGTTTGGCTGGTCCTGTTGTAGAAATAACGAGTAAGCGACGCGCGACACCGTCCCGTATCTGGCGGGAAGAAGCAGCCGGCCGTCACGCACGCGTCCAGACAGTCTCGGTGGCGCGTGAACATATTGCTGTTGCCACCGCATCCGGTGTAGTTGAGAAGTGAGCAGGTGCCGAGATTAGAGTCGTAGTAGTACCGCCACAAGCGCTTGCCGCAGTTGTCTCCGGAGCTGGCGTCCTGGGTGCAGACGCACGCGGCCTTGCACTGCGCCAGCGTCTCGAAGTTGTTGGCGTTGCCCTGGCAACCGCCGTAAACAAACTCCTTGCATTCTTGGGTGCGTGTGTCGAAGTAGTAGCGAGTGAATGAGGCTCGACACGGTCCGGTCACAGACTCCAATCTGCAGTCTGTTGAATAGAATGATTTAAAGTAGTCAGGTGGGCTTTCCTTTGAATTACGTCACATATCGGAGCTGTATTTACATCTCCGTGGATTCCCATCAGGGACACCCACCCCGCTGTACCCCTTTTCATTCGCAATTCTAGGGGTTTCATTTTTTTGTTCATTTATATTCACATTTTGAAATTAAAAAAAAAATTAAATAAAGAACTCGAGAACAAAAAATAGAGAGAGAGAGAGAGAGAGAGAGAGAGAGAGAGAGAGAGAGAGAGAGAGAGAGAGAGAGAGAGAGAGGAGCTCGCGTGACATGACGTAATTTGAGAGATGTCCTTGACATTCTAATTTTTATATAACCCCGTCCGCCTCTATTTTTTTTTTTTAATTTTAGTTTAAACTATTTTTTTTTTTTTTTTGAATTGAACCCTAAAGAAAAGCGACTCTGTGTTTCCAACAGAGCAGTCGCATCAGTTTTAGAAAACCCCTGCAACCAGTGGCATAGAAAAGGGCCCTTTTTTTTTAGATCGAAGGGCGAATTTTGTTCCAACTACCGAGTTGTTGTTTTTTTTTTTTTTTTTTTTTTTTTTTTTTTTTAATGTTTTATTTTTTTTCAACCTCCCGGTTTTTGTTTTTTTTTTTTTTGTTTTTTTTTTTGTTTTTTTCCGTTGAAGGGAAGCAGCGAAAATGCTCTCTGCATTGGGCGGCACAATCCCAGATCTGCAACTGCCTGCAACTTTTCCGTTTTGTGGCCAACCCTTTTTGTTTCCATTGAAAGTGAATATATTTATGTTTATTTTTCTGGACATTACAACTTTGGTCCCCTTAAATATAAGCAGCCGCCCACGCGACGGCTCTGACGGTCTTAATATCAAAAGTACGGCAGGACATAGCTAAATGGGGTCCACATGGGGTAATCGTTGTTTTAATTGATTTCATTTAGTGTAATTTGTATTTTTTAGTTATCACGGTAACCCTAATTGGGCCTCAGATTATTAATGAATAAGAAGAACCAATCAGAAAGAACAATGCATAAAGTAAAATTGATGAAAGGGCGCAACTTATAAGAAATTCAGCAGACATTTTTCAGAAAGACAAAATAAATTTAAAAAATTTTAAATTTACCTGAAATTTGTATAATTTTATGTTTGAAATAATATTTTTGAATTAATTTTTTTTTTGTTTAAAGCGTAACTCATGCGCACAACTCGTACTGGAAGGCAGGTCTGTGGACTTTCTCTAAACACGGTACAGAAAGAAATTGTATTGTTTAAACGTATAACTTATAGCGCTGCATTCTGAGATATATTCACGAAAGTGGCCATATTGTTAACTACACTAGTTTGAACTATAGCATGATTGTATTTTTCAGGAAAAATTCGAACAGGATTTGCGAAAGAGTGAAGGGGGAAAAAAAAAAGTTCACGCTGTGCCATCTCCTGCTCTACTGTTTCCTTCAAACGGCTTCAAAGCAGTTCCTGATATATTAACCTTGTATTTCTAAACACAAAAAAAAAATAAAAAATAAGACATACAATCTGGTTGGGATGCGTGTATCACTGTAACCAAGGCAACCGCCGTCAAGAATGTCAACATCCGAGACAGCATGGCTGTGTAGTCTCCTCTTGATACGTTTGTGCGATGGTAACTTGAAGGACTCGACAGCTAGTTGAACGGATTCCTTTTTCTCAGCTTCCTGCTGGACGGAAATCAACATAAACAAATGATACAAGTTAGTAATGGGTATAACTATAAATACTGTGTAGGGTGGTTTATTGGGTGACGTTGCTCAATCAAAGTAAACTCTGTCTTGAACATTTATGAGCATTTGTTTACATACCAAATACCAGAGAATCGAAATTGGAGATGAGCGGGAAGGGGCATGGGGGAGGGGACACAGTGTTGACAAACAATACAGTTGTTGAAGAAATATTGAAGAAACCGTCTCGGAGCTGTTCTCAGTACTTCCTACAGGCTAGATCGTCCGTACTTCCTACAGGCTACATCGTCAGTACTTCCTACAGGCTAGATCGTCCGTACTTCCTACAGGCTACATCGTCAGTACTTCCTACAATCTACATCGTCAGTACTTCCTACAGGCTACATCGTCAGTACTTCCTACAATCTACATCGTCAGTACTTCCTACAATCTACATCGTCAGTACTTCCTACAGGCTACATCGTCAGTACTTCCTACAATCTACATCGTCAGTACTTCCTACAGGCTACATCGTCAATACTTCCTACAGGCTACATCGTCAGTACTTCCTACAATCTACATCGTCAGTACTTCCTACAGGCTACATCGTCAATACTTCCTACAATCTACATCGTCAGTACTTCCTACAATCTACATCGTCAGTACTTCCTACAATCTACATCGTCAGTACTTCCTACAATCTACATCGTCAGTACTTCCTACAATCTACATCGTCAGTACTTCCTACAGGCTACATCGTCAGTACTTCCTACAGGCTACATCGTCAGTACTTCCTACAATCTACATCGTCAATACTTCCTACAATCTACATCGTCAGTACTTCCTACAATCTACATCGTCAGTACTTCCTACAATCTACATCGTCAGTACTTCCTACAGGCTACATCGTCAGTACTTCCTACAGGCTAGATCGTCCGTACTTCCTACAGGCTACATCGTCAGTACTTCCTACAGGCTAGATCGTCAGTACTTCCTACAGGCTACATCGTCAGTACTTCCTACAGGCTACATAAGTTTTAACTTATCTTACCTTATCTCAACTGGTCATTTTAATATTAATTTCAATAACAAAAAATTAATTCTAAAGAAGAAAATATGAAAGCATGACGCAGAATGAGGTCTGCAGAGATGCTCGGTTGGGCGAGGGATTAAGCATGCCTGGATGTACGTCACTGGCCAAGTCACACGACCAGCCACGACATCATTCGGATGATGTATAGTACTGAGTCATCTAGATTGACGAGCTGGACACAAGGAAGTGTACGGCATAAATTGTCTTTAAACAAAACGGAATGAACTGATGCCCCCCCCCCAACCTCACCCACCCCATTTTTTTTCCATTCCAATATATTGCCAAATGTTCTTCTTGTACTTTGAACTGATGCCCCCCCCCCACCTCACCCACCCCATTTTTTTCCATTCCAATATATTGCCAAATTTTCTTCTTGTACTTTGAACTGATGCCCCCCCCCCCAACCTCACCCACCCCATTTTTTTCCATTCCAATATCTTGCCAAATGTTCTTCTTGTACTTTGGTTTCGGACTCTCTATCACGATCTCTTAGTTCATATTTCATCTTAATCAATCGTCCACAAATATCCATCAACCCTATCTAATGCCATCTTTTAGTTGAACCAGTGGCTCACATAGAGCTCGTTAAGCCATGCCTCTCCAATTCATCATTGTATCAATAGCTTTTAAGTACGATCACGTACAATTTTTATTTTTTTTTCGGGGAGAAAAGAGTAGGCCTCCTACATTGGGTTGATGAATATCATTTCCGCTTTCGTTTGAGTTCTTGTTGTCATGGTTTGGCTGAGTAAACATGGATCGGATGACGTCACCGTGAATTGAGAGGAAAGAAATTACTCAGAGTAAAAGTATACATTTCATTTTTAAAACTCTACCATTGGCTCTGTTTTAAACAACCCTACTTGACACACTGGAATCGAGTCTAGAAACAACCAACATGGTTTTGGAACCAACCCAAAGAGGTAAGAGTTGGCGGCAACCACGGGCAAGCTACCCTGTTTTACAAAAATTTGGACGTGGCCCATAGGTAAATTAATCATTTCATCAATATCTATAGCTAAATTCATCATGTTATCAATATATATAGCTAAATTCATAATGTTTTCAATATCTATAGCTAAATTCATCATTTCATCAATATGTATGGCAAAATTTATTATCTTATTAATATATATAGTTAAATTCATCATTTTATCAATATCTATAGCTAAATTCTTCATGTTATCAATATCTATAGCTAAGTTGATCATTTCATATTTCATCAATATTTATAGCTAAATTCATCATTTTTATCAATATCAATAGAAAAATTCATCATTCTATCAATAGCTAAATGTATCCCTTTGTAATTGGTCTCCATCTAGGAGATCTCGCTCATGTCATCCTGCTCCCCACACGGCGTACATCCAAGTGTTGTTAGACACACCTTTCTCGTTTCACTGTCCAGATACTCTCTGTATCTTCCTACCATCTACGAAACGTTTCTTAAGACCAAAGAAACCCCCCTCCGCCTCCCCCCCCCCAATGTACACTCTGCATATCGGTACATACATGAAGTCAAACCCCCTCCGCCCCCCCCCCCCCCCAATGTACACTCTGCATATCGGTGCATACATGAAGTCGCACGCACTATAAAGAAAATATGGATGTCATCTTTGAAATGGAGCACTGAAGATGATCGAAGAGTGTTGGCCTTCACCAGGGTTTCTCAAGCTGTGGTAGGGAGGGGGGAATTGTAGCGGAAATATGGTCACGTGTTTATTTTCTCCTGCCTTACATGCCTTTGTAATTCAATAAACAAATGACAAGTCTTTCTTTTGTGCTATTGAAATGCAGTGTTATTTTTGTTAGGGAGTAGACTAAGTCAAACTCTCCGAGGCGTGTCAGAGGCTAGGTTTTTAAATCGTGGGATGTCTAGGTCATTATAAATGTTGAGAAGCCCTGACCTACCAATACAGCCCCCCCCCCTTTTTTTCCAAAAAAAGAAGTGTCCTTGGTTAAGTGGTAAGCCTGTGAAAGGGATCAAGCGAGACCTGGCGTGGCTCAGATGAATTCATCCCGGACCCTGCCACTCTTTGGGGCCAAGAAGAGCCTGTCACTAATTTGTTGATATAGTGCAGTGAGAACATTTTCGTCTTGAGTGTGAAGAGAGCGCCATTGTAAATACATTTCTCCTCAGTTGGCGCTTTCGTTATTGGACCAGAATGTTTAGGACTATAACCCTTGAAGTGGTGGTTATTTTGTTTGTGTGGTCATCGAATACAAACTGAAGGAATCTTCAATGATTAAACACGGGACCTTCATAGAAATAAAGATTTTGATTGATTCCATTCCAAATACTGTATTGTGTGTTATTTGACGTCAATGATACTATTGATCATCTAACGCCAAGCCTTAAAAGTCAGAACCGCAGTGCAGCTCGATGTTCAGAGAAACGACCCTCACCTCACCCCCCCCCCCCCCCCCAACAAAAAAAACCAGTACAGTGGTGCCCCTGAATCCGAACGCCCTTGAACTTGAACAACTTGGAATCAGAACGTAAAAGTCGAGCAAATTTTGACTCGAAATCCGAACGCTGCTTTGGAATCCGAATGTCCAGCAAGTTGTCCTGTTGTGTGTGTCCTGTTGTCCGTGTCCTGTTGTGTGTCCATCTCCCCATCGTTCGGGCCAACAAGATTTCTGGACGTAATTTTTTTTTTTTAAATTATTAATATTTTTTTAAAAATACTTTTCTGAAGCTCTAGTCCAAGCATCTCGTGTGATTTTTTTCGCTGCTAATTTTATTTATTTTTTAAAATTTTGGTTAAGTAATATAATTTGAACCAATGGCCTTTGACCTGGGGTTAATATTAAAATAGATCAAATGTTGGTACTAACAAGAATATTTTTTTTGTTAAAAGAGAGGACTTTCTTAAAAAAAAAGACAACACATATTTTTTGACATTTCTACTATATATTAATTAAAGTAAAGAAAGTGTTAGGAGAAGAGATGTTTAAAAATGAATACAAAGCAACCTATTTGAATTTCTTCTACATTCTATTCGAAACATTCGGCTTCCTACAGAGCCATGTTATCCTTCTGCACAGACTTTCTTTGCGCTATCACTGATAGCGGCATAGCGGTTATGCATCTACAAAATGGAAGAACATTATAATTATATCCTATATTTTAGTGCGTTTTTGAAAGAAATTCTTTTTTTGAAAGTTTATGTACTTATTTACATATTATTTTGAATCCTCAATGTCTTGAATCAACAACCTTAATTGACGGGGAGCTCTGTGCCTGGTAGTGAGTCACGTGGTGTGTCCTACGGTGGACATTTCAATAGGTCAGACATTTCCATTCACAAAATGTGATCGTCTTGACATGGTAAACATGGTAACTCGTTTTTTTTTTGTTTTAAAAATTGTACACCAGGCCAAAAACCGGAAAAAGAGGGGGATGGGTAGACACACTAGCATAGGAAGGGGGATGGGTAGACACACTAGCATAGGAAGGGGGATGGGTAGACACACTAACATAGGAAGGGGGATGGGTAGACACACTAGCATAGGAAGGGGGGTGGGTAGACACACTAGCATAGGAAGGGGGATGGGTAGACACACTAACATAGGAAGGGGGATGGGTAGACACACTAGCATAGGAAGGGGGTGGGTAGACACACTAGCATAGGAAGGGGGATGGGAAGACACACTAGCATAGGAAGGGGGATGGGTAGACACACTAGCATAGGAAGAGGGGTGGGTAGACACACTAGCATAGGAAGGGGGATGGGTAGACACAATAGCATAGGAAGGGGGGGGGCGGAGTCTGCGTTGCTCCATGGCGCCCCCTTTTTTTATACACAAAGGAGCGGCATTATTGGGCCAACTTAAGAACTTTTCTTGGGGATTGCGGCACAAAACTGGGCCCACCGAAAAGCTACGACACTGAGACATTTCAATCATGAGAACTATCATTCGATGTGGGCTGGCCAGAAAATTTCTCCATCCCAGAGTCTTGAACTAATTTGTTCAGCATGAAAATTACATATTTGTTTTGTATCCCAGAGTCTTGAACTAATTTGTTCAGCATGAAAATTACATATTTGTTTTGTGGCTAACAGTCAACGCCCAAGACTCTTGATACATGTGGGACGATGAATTCAACACGATCTAATACTAATACGTGGGCACATTGCTAAGCTTGATCAATTCTCTAGACTCTAGATCGAATAGGGTTCTTGTAAAGAATATTTTATCATCGGATCGGGTACATGGTTGATAGATAAGTAATTTTATGAGATCGGAGTACGCTCAGTATCTTCTACAATTGATTTATGACAAGTTTTAGGAGAAGGTCAACGTGACCCTATCAGAAGTTGAGGGAAAAGGGGGGGGGGGAAGGGGGTTTAAAACAAAATTTTATTCCATATATATAGTATATACAATGTGCTTCTGTAAAGGGTAATGCTACTACAGGGGTAAACAAGGCGCCAGTCTTAAAACTCAGGCTACTGTTCTACACTCAGGCCACTGTCCTACACTCAGGACACTGTCCTACACTCAGGCCACTGTCCTACACTCAGGTCACTGTCCTACACTCAGGCCACTGTCCTACACTCAGGCCACTGTCCTACACTCAGGCCACTGTCCTACACTCAGGCCACTGTCCTACACTCAGGCTGATGGTGAACATGTTGTAAAGCCTACTCAAACAAGACGTCTCTGTGCTTCTTCAGATTAAACTGTATAATGTTTGTTCAGATTGAATGGTATAATATTTGTTCAGATTGAATGGTGTAATATTTGTTCAGATTGAATGGTATAATATTTGTTCAGATTGAATGGTATAATATTTGTTCAGATTGAATGGTATAATATTTGTTCAGATTAAACTGTATAATGTTTGTTCAGATTGAATGGTATAATATTTGTTCAGATTGAATGGTATAATATTTGTTCAGATTGAATGGTATAATATTTGTTTAGATTGAATGGTATAATATTTGTTCAGATTGAATGGTATAATATTTGTTCAGATTGAATGGTATAATATTTGTTCAGATTGAATGGTATAATATTTGTTCAGATTGAATGGTATAATATTTGTTCAGATTGAATGGTATAATGTTTGTTCAGATCACATTGAATAATGTTTGTTCAGATCGCATTGAATAATGTTTGTTCAGATTGAATGGTATAATATTTGTTCAGATCGCATTGAATAATGTTTGTTCAGATCGCATTGAATAATGTTTGTTCAGATTGCATTGAAAAATGTTTGTTCAGATCGCATTGAATAATGTTTGTTCAGATCGCATTGAATAATGTTTGTTCAGATTGCATTGAATAATGTTTGTTCAGATCGCATTGAATAATGTTTGTTCAGATGGCATTGAATAATGTTTGTTCAGATTGAATGGTATAATATTTGTTCAGATTGCAATGAATAATGTTTGTTCAGATTGCATACACAATAAATATATGAGCTATATGTCTGTCTTGTGAAGAAGGCAATGGATTAGTTCTTTAGAGCGAATCACATATGAGGGGCTGCGTTCATTGCGTGTCGAGGAAAGAGTTGGAGCAACATATGTTGGAGCTTGAATTGAATGTTTCGGTCAGATGCCTTCTACAGCAGACAAGACAAAAGAAGAAACACAATCAAATTTCGAATGGGAGTCGCTTAGTCAAATATTTTGTCACGTGATATGAGTAAAAACGAGTAAGATTTCCGGTATACTGTCTACAACACACTAGTGCTTGACAACAGTAGCCTGATACACACTACAACTACACTACATTTCGTCCAATGAAAATTAATAATAAAATAAACAAAGGGGAATGACTCCTGCATCACTATTGAATAAAAACGCAAATGACGTCATGAGCACGCACGGCGCTCAACAACATCCTGCCGATAATAGTATTGATAGTTCCCATCGAATATCGCTCACAAATTTTTCTTGAAATAACTTTCTTCCTTTAATTATAACTGACGTATATTTATTGTCACATTTATGTATTTAATTTAAAAAACGCTTGCATTCCATAATATTACGAAAGGTAAAATTTTTAATTAACATAACATTGGGGAAGCACTGATGAAGTATCTTTTGTTGTGTGTTGCAGCCTAGTGATGGCTTACTCATATCACGTGACCAAACAAGGAAGTGACTAAGCGACTCCCATTAATTTGAAAACGTATGGGTCAGATCTCAGTTATTGAAGAGGGAAGCGCTTTTTGTTAGAAATGGAAGCGGTCTTTTTTTTAAACGGAAGCGGTCTTTTTTAGAAATGGAAGCGCTCTTTTTTTTTAAACGGAAGTTAAATTTTCCAAAACCAAAAATTGCGTACCATATAATTCTGTGGTGTGTACTACCAAGGACATTACAATATGTAAAATAATTTTAGAATTATCAATGTTAATATTAAGATCTTAAACCAAAAAAAAAAAAAAAATTAAATGAGAATATAATTCAAGTACAATGTAGGACCCATGGTTAGAAAGTCTTTGATTGATGCCTTGTGGTGTTATGGCGGCAAAAAAATCTGAATTAATTAGTTTGTATTCTTCACTCTCGATGGTGAATTTTAGTGCGAGAATTTAGAGCCGCGATGGAGACCAATGATGTACTCCTTTGTTCATCTCCGTTGCAATGGGATGAGACCGGGGACGGCTTGTTGTGATCAATACCACGAAGATGTTCACCGAAACTATCAACCCGCCTCCTTCCCATGAAATCTTCGGCAAACATTGCGACACATGTAGATGGATTTGACGGCTGGACCTGCTCACCGTAGACAATCGCAAGCACGTGTTCACGATACGGGAATTCTAGTTTTGTATTCGACACTTAATCTATTTATAGAACTGCTTGTCTGGTACCGACAAATGACGTCATAGTTTTATTTCGTCTTAATGTCCCTCTAAATATCCCCCCTCCCATTGTTCCCCTTTCCCCACATCAATTTCCCTACAGAATGGAATCAAAACCCTGGTAGGAAAAGGAGCCCGCAACCCACGGCACGCGTGCAAGACATGGCACGCGTAGTAGTATTCAATGACATACGGAAAACAACATACAAAAGAACCATTGTAAGTTTTCATTTAACCCTAGCGCCACACAAAGCAGACTGACAGATAGTCGGAACGATGCACGAATTTAAAGTACTTTATTTTTAGAGAACATAACCAAAAATGGTGCCGATCGCTGGGTAGGACAGTACAACTCTACCCCTGGTTAAGACAGCACAACTCTACCCCTGGTTAAGACAGCACAACTCTACCCCTGGTTAAGACAGCACAACTCTACCCCTGGTTAGGACAGCACAACTCTACCACTGGTTAAGACAGCACAACTCTACCCCTGGTTAAGACAGCACAACTCTACCCCTGGTTAAGACAGCACAACTCTACCCCTGGTTAAGACAGCACAACTCTACCCCTGGTTAGGACAGCACAACTCTACCACTGGTTAAGACAGCACAACTCTACCCCTGGTTAAGACAGCACAACTCTACCCCTGGTTAAGACAGCACAACTCTACCCCTGGTTAAGACAGCACAACTCTACCCCTGGTTAGGACAGCACAACTCTACCACTGGTTAAGACAGCACAACTCTACCACTGGTTAAGACAGTACAACTCTACCCCTGGTTAAGACAGCACAACTCTACCCCTGGTTAGGACAGTACAACTCTACAACACTCTGCGCTCTTAAATAAGATATGGGCATTTTTTTAAAAAAGTCGCTTTGAAGTTTGTAAAATATTCATGAAGCAATTCAAAAAGTAATGTAACGGCTTTCAATGCTTTGAATATGACTTGCACCAACACCAACCTCTGGCCGTCTGTTTGTTCTGTTTGAGTCATATGTTCCTCTCACAAAAGTGAGGCCTATGTTTGCATGCCGTAGTCAAGTGAATGCCAAATGCAAACATTAAATCCTCATCCAGTTTTGGTTGGGGGGGGGGGGTGGACTTGGCATCATCAGGCAAAAATTGCACAAATCAGTGATCCCCCTTAAGTTAAGTTTTAGACTCTGATGACGTAATCAATTCAGAGAGCGCCCTGGAGTTAAGTTTTTAGACTCTGATAGGTTTGGGTGGGGGGGGGGGGGTGGACTTGGCATCATCAGGCAAAAATTGCACACATCAGTGATCGCCCTTAAGTTAAGTTTTAGACTCTGATGACGTAATGAATTCAGAGATCGCCCTTGAGTTAAGTTTTTAGACTCTGATGATGTAGTGTATTCAGAGATCGCCCTTGAGTTAAGTTTTGGGAAATGATAACATCATAATTTCAGAGATCGCCCTTGAGTTAAGTTTTTAGACTCTGATGATGTAATGAAATCAGAGATCGTCCTTGAGTTGAGCTTTGGAAAATGATGATGTCATAAATTCAGTGATCGCCCTTGAGTTAAGCTGTGGACTTTGATGACGTCATAAAGTCAGTTGTCACCCTTGAGTTAAGCTTTAGACTATGATGACGCCACGCATTCTGTTTTCAGACAGATTTTGCAAAATAACAATACTAGAAACAAGGTCGTGAATTTTAAGACTTACCAATCGTTAGTGTTAGTGGGGTCAATCCGACTTCTGGGATGAACAAAAACTGAACAAGGATTGCACTAGGGTGAAACGAGTCGTGTAAAGAACTGCGTTTGACACAACACTAGCAGGACATGGCTTTTAAAAAATATACAACCAGTTACAAGTACATACAGTCCAGAATGTACAGGTGATTTAACTCCAATACAAACTTGACCTGGTCTTGGGTTAGTTGGGCTCTGAGAGCTGCATTGGGTCCTTGCAAGAAGAGCGGAGAAACATGGCTGAGGAGAAATGTGAAAGGGCTCAGTCGATTGGACGACCGGGAGACACCTGACCCAACCCTCCTGACCGCCCCCGCCCCCCCCCCTACCAACTTAATAACTTTTTAAACAAGAGACCAGAAATATAAAGTGCGAGAAAGAGAGTATGTGTGTGTGTGTGTGTGTGTGTGTGTGTGTGTGTGTGTGTGTGTGTGTGTGTGTGTGCGATAGTATGTTTGTTTGTGTGTGTGTGTGTGTGTGTGTGTGTGTGTGTGTGTGTGTGTGTGTGTGTGTGTGTGTGTGTGTGTGTGTGTGTGTGTGTGTGTGTGTGTGTGTGTGTGTGTGTGTGTGTGTGTGTGTGTGTGTGTGTGTGTGTGTGTGTGTGTGTGTGTGTGTGTGTGTGTGTGTGTGTGTGTGTGTGTGTGTGTGTGTGTGTGTGTGTGTGTGTGTGTGTGTGTGTGTGTGTGTGTGTGTGTGTGTGTGTGTGTGTGTGTGTGTGTGTGTGTGTGTGTGTGTGTGTGTGTGTGTGTGTGTGTGTGTGTGTGTGTGTGTGTGTGTGTGTGTGTGTGTGTGTGTGTGTGTGTGTGTGTGTGTGTGTGTGTGTGTGTGTGTGTGTGTGTGTGTGTGTGTGTGTGTGTGTGTGTGTGTGTGTGTGTGTGTGTGTGTGTGTGTGTGTGTGTGTGTGTGTGTGTGTGTGTGTGTGTGTGTGTGTGTGTGTGTGTGTGTGTGTGTGTGTGTGTGTGTGTGTGTGTGTGTGTGTGTGTGTGTGTGTGTGTGTGTGTGTGTGTGTGTGTGTGTGTGTGTGTGNAGTCCAGGAGACATGAGTCCAGGAGACACGAGTCCAGGAGACATGAGTCCAGGAGACATAAGTCCAGGAGACATGAGTCCAGGAGACATAAGTCCAGGAGACATGAGTCCAGGAGACATGAGTCCAGGAGACACGAGTCCAGGAGACATGAGTCCAGGAGACACGAGTCCAGGAGACATGAGTCCAGGAGACATAAGTCCAGGAGACATGAGTCCAGGAGACATAAGTCCAGGAGACATGAGTCCAGGAGACATGAGTCCAGGAGACATGAGTCCAGGAGACACGAGTCCAGGAGACATGAGTCCAGGAGACACGAGTCCAGGAGACATGAGTCCAGGAGACACGAGTCCAGGAGACATGAGTCCAGGAGACACGAGTCCAGGAGACATGAGTCCAGGAGACATGAGTCCAGGAGACATGAGTCCAGGAGACATGAGTCCAGGACCCTCAAATACCTGAAACGTTTTTCAACATCTTTCAACCGACATCATCCATACATCACCTCTCAAACTCCATATATCACCTCTCAAACTCCATATATAACCTCTCAAACTCCATATAGCACCTCTCAAAATCAATATATAACCTCTCAAACTCCATATATCACCTCTCAAACTTAATATGTCACCTCTCAAACTCCATCTATCACCTCTCAAACTCCATATATCACCTCTCAAACTCAATAAATCACCTCAAACTCCATATATCACCTCTCAAACTCCATATATAACCCCTCAAACTCAATATATCACCTCTCAAACTCCATATATCACCTCTCAAACTCAATACATCACCTCTCAAACTCAATATATCACCTCTCAAACTCAATATATCACCTCTCAAACTCAATACATCACCTCTCAAACTCCATATATAACCCCTCAAACTCAATATATCACCTCTCAAACTCCATATATCACCTCTCAAACTCAATACATCACCTCTCAAACTCAATATATCACCTCTCAAACTCAATATATCACCTCTCAAACTCAATACATCACCTCTCAAACTCCATATATCACCTCTCAAACTCAATACATCACCTCTGAAACTCAATTTATCACCTCTCAAACTCAATACATCACCTCTCAAACTCAATACATCACCTCTCAAACTCAATACATCACCTCTCAAACTCAATACATCACCTCTCAAACTCAATACATCACCTCTCAAACTCAATACATCACCTCTCAAACTCAATACATCACCTCTCAAACTCAATACATCACCTCTCAAACTCAATACATCACCTCTCAAACTCAATACATCACCTCTCAAACTCAATACATCACCTCTCAAACTCAATACATCACCTCTCAAACTCAATACATCACCTCTCAAACTCAATACATCACCTCTCAAACTCAATACATCACCTCTCAAACTCAATACATCACCTCTTAAACTCCGAATATCAACTCTCAAACTCCATAAATCACCATATACACTCCATATATCACCTCTCAAACTCTATAAATAATTTCACACAATCTGAATATAACCTCTCAAAATTCATATATCACCTCACATACTCCATATATCACCACACACCCAACATATATCACCTCTCAACTCCTTATGGCACTTCTCAAACTCCATATATTACATCTCACACTCGATGTATCACTTCACACATTCCATATTATATCACCTCTCAAAATTCATATATCACCTCACATAATCAATATATTACCTCTCAAAACCCATATATCACCTTCAAAACTCAATATCTCACCTCTCAAACTCCATTTATCACCTCTCAAATTCTATATATCACTCCACAAACTCCATGTATCACCTCTGAAACTCCATATATATGTCAAACACAACACTCCATATATCAAACATCTCAGATATTAGCCATCTACCACCGCATTCATTTATTACATCACCAAAGATACTTTTTATACTATCCAACACACTCCTTACATTTCCCAACACACTCCGGGTTTTACCCCACACACTCCATATATTACCACACACACGCCCTTTATTACCCAAACACTCCCAGTGCATGATGACTGCTCTATATCAGGGCGTAGACAGTGCCTGATAACTGCTCTATATCAGGACGTAGACAGTGCCTAGTGACTGCTCTATATCAGGGCGTAGACAGTGCTTAATGACTGCTCTATATCAGGGCGTAGACAGTGCCTATTCACTGCTTTTTATCAGGGCGTAGACAGTGCCTAATAACTGCTCTATATCAGGGCGTAGACAGTGCCAAGTGACTGCTCTATATCAGGGCGTAGACAGTGCCTAATGACTGCTCTATATCAGGGCGTAGACAGTGCCTAATGACTGCTCTATATCAGGGCATAGACAGTGCCTAATGACTGCCCTATATCAGGGCATAGACAGTGCCTAATGACTGCTCTATATCAGGGCATAGACAGTGCCTAATGACTGCTCTATATCAGGGCGTAGACAGTGCCAAATGACTGCTCTATATCAGGACATAGACAGTGCCTAATGACTGCTCTATATCAGGGCATAGACAGTGCCTAATGACGGCTCTATATCAGGGCGTAGACAGTGCCAAATGACTGCTCTATATCAGGACATAGACAGTGCCTAATGACTGCTCTATATCAGGGCATAGACAGTGCCTAATGACGGCTCTATATCAGGGCGTAGACAGTGCCAAATGACTGCTCTATATCAGGACATAGACAGTGCCTAATGACTGCTCTATATCAGGGCATAGACAGTGCCTAATGACGGCTCTATATCAGGGCGTAGACAGTGCCAAATGACTGCTCTATATCAGGACATAGACAGTGCCTAATGACTGCTCTATATCAGGGCATAGACAGTGCCTAATGACGGCTCTATATCAGGGCGTAGACAGTGCCAAATGACTGCTCTATATCAGGACATAGACAGTGCCTAATGACTGCTCTATATCAGGGCATAGACAGTGCCTAATGACGGCTCTATATCAGGGCGTAGACAGTGCCAAATGACTGCTCTATATCAGGACATAGACAGTGCCTAATGACTGCTCTATATCAGGGCATAGACAGTGCCTAATGACGGCTCTATATCAGGGCGTAGACAGTGCCTAATGACTGCTCTATATCATGGCGTAGACAGTGCCTAATGACTGCTCTATATCAGGGCGTAGACAGTGCCTAATGACTGCTCTATATCAGGGCGTAGACAGTGCCTAATGACTGCTCTATATCAGGGCGTAGACAGTGCCTAATGACTGCTCTATATCAGGGCATAGACAGTGCCTAATGACGGCTCTATATCAGGGCGTAGACAGTGCCTAATGACTGCTCTATATCAGGGCGTAGACAGTGCCATGTGACTGCTCTATATCAGGGCGTAGACATTGCCTAGTGAGTGCTCTATATCAGGGCGTAGACAGTGCTTAATGACTGCTCTATATCAGGGCGTAGACCAGGGGTCGGAAACCTTTTTGTCTGAGAGAGCCATGGACACCACATATTTTGAAAAGCAATTGTGTGAGAGCCATACATTATGTTTAAAACTAAAAATTCAAGTGAATGTGTGCATTTTTTAAATCAACTTTACCACTTCTGATGCTGAGCTGCAGTAGACTTTAGCTCATTTGTAGAATGAAATATTGATATGCAATTAATGTGTAGATCAAATGAGTCTAAAGAAACTTTTTTATAATCGAACATTTTTCTGCGAACCAGATGCAGCCATCAATAGAGCCACTTCTCGCTCGAGAGCCATAGTTTCTTGACCCCTGGCGTAGACAGTGCCTAGTGACTGCTCTATATCAGAGCCCAGACATTGCCTAGTGACTGCTCTATATCAGAGCCCAGACAGTGCCTAGTGACTGCTCTATATCAGAGCCCAGACAGTGCTTAGTGACTGCTCTATATCAGAGCCCAGACAGTGCCGGGTGGAGACTATGATGACGTAATAATTCATTTAAAAATAGGGGTGGACAACCCAAAATACTTCGCGGGCCACTTTCATGGCGAGTAACCGTTTGAGGTTATTTGTGATAAAAATTGCTTTCGAAACCCGTAATATTTGACATGACGTGTTGGGCACCACGATCTAACCCTACAATTTGTTGGGCACCACGATCTAACAATACAATTTGTTGGGCACCTGATCTAACACTACAATTTGTTGGGCACCTGATCTAACACTACAATTTGTTGGGCACCATGATTTAACACTACAATTTGTTGGGCACCTGATGTAACACTACAATTTGTTGGGCACCATGATTTAACA